AGACTCATCAATACCTCTAATTTTACCAACAAAATGACATAAATCTCTACGAATCCTCTGAAATGTTGTCTGACGCACGTTTGCCGCTCGTTTTTCAACAATGGCCGCCGGTGAAAGGAACGCATGATTCGGCCATAAATCCATTTGGTGTTTTTTCCCATCAAAAGTAACTCCGTATGACACCAGCGGTGATTCATCAATTTGCCGTTTTTTTCTCCTCTTCAACATATTTGGCTGATGCGCATAGAAATGCACCAGCGAAAACGTCAAAAAATTCCCATCTTGAGTCAACTTCCTCGGCACAATCAATTGATAATCACTGACGTCACGTGTGTACCTGCCTTTCAAAAGACAAATAATTGAATCAGTGTATCGGAAAAGAATTCACCGCCTCGGGGCAAAGGGAATACATTAAACATCGTGCTGAGCAACACGCATGAATAATGCATCAATTTGATTCGTCGCGCATTGCATCGTGCCGGCCCTCGTCAATTTTACCTTCTAATAAAACCACCGGCGACAACGTCTCCAAGAGCACAGCCAGTAGCAGCGAGCGCGTTGCTGCGCTCATCACTAATTGAATAATTCACGACGTCGCGCACAAATGATTGAATCACCAATTACATCCGAAATCATTAAAGTACTTGGATGCGGTTGGGGCGTACGACAAGACTCTTCCCCGATTTCAAGACTTCGTTAGCGTGAATTTGTACAAATCTGATATAAATACGTCAAACATTACATCTGACGTGATGTGTGATGTGAGATGTGTCAAACTACCGCAAGATTGCGGCTTGCTCCCCAGGGGCGGTTGGAAATTTTGACGTACGCACGGAGGTAAACTTAATTCAAACTAATTACACCAGTTTCCAAACCCCATCGTTAGTTATGATCAAAGTTTGGAATAATAATATCATTAAATTACTAACATATTAAAATACGGTCCTGGAATATATTTTTAGACATTTTTGCTAAATTTTGAGGTTTTTGGAATTTTTTTTGCAAAAATTTTGGTTTTTTTTATCGAAATTTAAAAAAATTCCAAATTTTTGTTTAAAGTTTATATTTAAATATTATAACACGGCCCTGTAAAATATTTTTAGAACATTTTTGCTAACTTAGATGTTTTGGAATTTTTTTGCAAAAATTTTGGTTTTCTTGATCAAAATTTAAAAAATTTCCAAATTTTTGTTTAAAATTTGTATCGAAATATCATAATACGGCCCTGAAAAATATTTTTTGTATATTTTTTCCAAAATTCTGCAGTTTTAAGAAATTTTTGCAATTTTTTTTTCTAATTTTTTGTTTTTTTCCAAAATTTTTGCTTTTTTTGAAAAAAAAATTCCTAAAAATAAAAAAAAAACCTATATATAGATTTAAATAAAAAATAGTAAATTCACTATTGAGCTGGATTTGTGTTTTTACACGCATATGAATAATTTTGCAAGCGGATGTTAAAAAGTAAAAAATAAACCGTTCGATCGATTTGTCCGGCTGACAGCGGCGGCGCGCTTTGATATTCTAATACGAGTTGGAATCATTTATGCGTCCATCACAACCGCGCTTAAGTTACACAAGTGGTGTATAATCTGGCGTGCACTCTGCCAAAAACGGAATTTACATCCAAAAAAATGCAAACCGAAAATATTATGACTCAAAACAACTTTTTTGCGCGAAAAGTGTGTAAATTATGTGCCGGGCCGAAGATTATTTATGTTGAGATCTTTTGTTTTGCTCTGAGTCATCGACTTTTGGTATAATTGATTGAAATCGCGTTATTTATCGCTGTGTTGTGTCACAGAAACAGTCGAAATTCGACGATTGAGTCATACACAGACTTCTTTGTCAAGAGACATTTTTTTAGATTTGTAAATTTTTAAATTATACAATTATAGTAAAGTAATGGGAGCGGTATGTCCATGACCTTCTAGAAATAATACCATGTCAATCAAATTTTTTGATAGCATTAACAACAATTGGAAACATGTTTATTTTGAGTTATATTTGCAAAATTATTTAATTTTTTTGCAAAAATTGCAATTTTTACAGTTTTTTGCTATTTTTCCGATTGTAACAAAGAAAATTTTGTAATTTGGAAATTTAGAAATAGATGGCGCTAATGATACGGCATATGGCGCTTTATTTTAGGTTAAATTTCTAAAATTTTTGATTTTTTTGCAAAAAAAATGCAGTTTTGGCAGTTTTTTTCTATTTTACAATTGAAGTTAACAAAATATAAGATTTTAGATGTTTTATAATAGATGGCGCTGATGATATGTTAAATAGACCTTTATTTTAGGTTAAAATACTAAATTTTTAAATGTTTTGCAAAAAAATTACACTTTTTGCAGTTTTTTCCAATTTTTCCCAATTGCACCAAACAAAATGTAATAATCCAGAAATTCCCGAACAGATGGCGTTGATGATGCAACAAATGGCGCGTCCATTCCCACGTCGCAACAAATCGATCGTATGACTTCCGGCAAAAACGGAAATAGTGCACGAGTACATTACATCCACCTGCTACAGCAAAGTATTGACAGAATTCACAATCTAATAACAAAATTAAAATAAATAATAGTTGCATGTTAATGATAGAAAAAATAAATGTCGGTCGTGAATGTAAATGTAAATGTAAACGTGTAAACGACACAAACTATGTGCGATGTAGCACGGACATGAAAACGTTGTGGAAAATTGTTTAGCCACGGCAATAATGATCGCCATTTATAGAATTTACGCCGTCGTCGATGGCGGCGCGCGGCGAATGGGCGCAGTGCGCGCACGCCTGAATGGCGAATGAAGTAATACAGGAGTTTTACGAGCGCAATTAACATTTATTATATAGAATTATCATTATTGGTGTTTGCCGTGCAATAGGTAGTCAAGACTCAGTAGGAGGGCTCCAGACACGTTTGAATGTTGTTAATTATTGTGTAAATACTTTGTTTATCAATAAAATGCGATAAAATATTATAGTGATTATTATTGTAATTTTTTCATTTGCAGGATGATCAATCCCGGATTTTTACGATTTTATTTCAGTCACGATTGTTAAAAGTTGAAACATTAGCATTGGCAATGCGTACGACGTGCATTACTTGCAGCCGCAAAGTTGTGTAAACTCTTTTCGACGTTTTCTGCTCCTTGCTCCTTAATATTAAAATAATGCGCTTCAAATTGAGGCCCATTTAAAGACGCGTCATGAATATGCATGAGACGTCCGGCGAAATCCAGCGCAAGTTTTTTCAACCCTAAAAATTCTAAATATACACTGCTACAATGAACGAAGAATGAAAAAATTAGTATTAACTCAGTCGATTTCCTTCGTATTTTTGGAATTTACATAGAAAAATGAGAAAATTAAAAAAACGAAAAAACATAGATTTACATTTTTTTCCAAAAATTTTTTTGCAAAATTTGTATTTATTCAATCATTTTTGGTCAAATTTTTGTTAATTAGTATAAGAAAGTGTACATTTTAATTGCAAAAGATAAAATTTTATATAAAACGAAATTTTTTCAACTTTTTTTGGAAAAAAATTCAATTTTTTGCAAAATTTGCATTTATTCAATCATTTTTGGCTAAATTTTTGTGAATTTATGTAAAAACGTTTTGCAAAACACCAATAATCATAAAATAAATTGCCAAATTAATTAAATTGTCAATTTAAACCAAAAATATATAATATTACCAAAAGCAAAAATATGTAACCTTTTTCCAAAAAATTTGATTTTTGCAAAATTTGAATTTATTCAATCATTTTTGGTAAAATTTTTCTAAATTTGTATAAGAAAGTGTAAATTTTAATTGCAAAAGATAAAATATTATATAAAACGAAAAATTTTCAACTTTTTGGGAAAAAAATTGAATTTTTTGCCAAATTTGCATTTATTCAATCATTTTTGGCTAAATTTTTGTGAATTTTTATAAAATAGTAAAATTAATTTGTCAATTTAAACCAAAACACCAAAAACAATAATCATAAAATAAATTAAATTAAGAAATCAATTTAAACCTGAAAAAATATAATATTACAAGAAACAAAAAATATGTAATCTCTTTTCCAAAAAAATTATGATTTTTTGCAAAATTTGTATCAACTCAGTCATTTATTGCCAAATTTTTGTAAATTTTTATAAAAAAGTTTTGCAAAATCCCAAAAAGACATAAAATAAATTTGATCCACATTATTTTTTCAAACTACAACCAAAAACAACAAAAAATCTATTTTTTTCTAATCAAATGTCCAAACACAATTATTTAATATTTATCTCTCCGCCTATACTTTTCAACATATCAAAGTTTCAAGGATGAGATCAGATCGAATCCCCGAAGCGTGAAATCAAACTGCATGGTTCATCAAGCGCGGCGAAATATCACATATTGGATGTGTAATTTATTCAAAAACTAAATTTGCCACAAAAAAAAAATCCCACTTCAATCCACCCAACGCACTGTATAAAATATGTGTTAATTTACGCGTAGACTAATTTGTTTCTCTTTTTTTCCGCCGTCGTCGTTGTCTACATCTCTGATTTAATTTATTTGTACAGTTGTAGTTGTTAAAACACACCTTGATGTTAAACGGGCCCGAAACAGGAAACGCTCAATTACGAGTGTGTTCGGTGCGCGTCTTTCATCTCCGCGCAGCGTTCACATTATGTCATGTCGTCGATAAATTTTAATTAATGCACACACATCGACTGCAGCACGCATATCGCGCAGACGTGTAAAATAAAATCAAATAAAACTCGCGGCGCCAAAGAAGAAGATTCTTGTCTTGTCTGCATGAGACTTTCATCTACAGGTTGTTAAAATACAAAAAAATTAAAAACTTTTATAATAAAATTTTTAAAATTAAATTAATTAAATGTATGATTATAATAAAATATTTACTAGTATTGATTTGTTGTAAGTGCGTAATTTACGTGAAGGAAAGCCAAGGTTTTACATTTACACTGTTATAAAATAAACACTTTTGCTGAGCGTTTCTTAGTCATCAGACAAGTCGCGGGGTCGGGTGTTGGAACTACTACAACTCGTGTGTCAGTCTGGACCCGAAACAGAACACACGCTAGACGCGTTCGCGACACCGCAAGTTCCACACGCGAAAATCACTGCAGTGCCAATCCGCATAACCAAGCTAACCGACTAGTAACGCACGCGCGTCATGTGCCACCTAGCGAGTAGAAGTGATGTTAAGTCTACGTGTGGTGCAACAGTGCGCGTATGATGACGCTACTCAACCGCTACGCATGGCCGCTATGGCTCGGAACCCTCACAATACTACTACAGATATTCACATGCGTCGCGTTTGAAAACCAACATCAATACAAAGGTAGAATAAAAACCAAGATAATTGTAATTATATGTTGACGTATTAATTGATCACGAACATGAAATAATTATCTACGTGTACTTGAATCGAATGAAAATATGTTTCATGTTTGGATTTTTATTGAATAAGTTGAAGTTGTTTGTTGTTTGCCCACGATTTATGTAGAAATTGTTCTGCAATCGAAGTGAATATGTTTAATATAAACGTTTACATTTCGACAACACAAACAAGCGCTTGATGGACGCTGTTTGCAACAGCATCCGATCGAAAATCGCTGTGCATTTATAGACAAGAGATCAAATTTAACGTCGTACACATTCAAGCATTACGTCAACAGACATAATGCACAAAACCATTGATATTGCACACAATCTGTTTCAAATCATTCCGCTCACAACGCAATTTAATGTGTTACTGATTCCAAACACTCGAAACCGATCCGAATTATCAAATATTACATACAGACGATTTAATTTCGTGAAGGACACTTCATGCTTTGATTATTTTTGACCTAATAATTATGAATTTAATGCGCGATGTGAATTCTCATTCTTGGAAGTGTTTGATTAAGTGGAAAAATAAAAATGCTTTCCGACTGTCAGCCCGAATGATTTGTTGCAAACCTTGAGCGATCATTTCATATATTTTTTTGTCTGTGTCGCGTTTTAAATTAAAACTCTCTCATTGTGCACTTGTTTTATTTATGCTGCGTTCGGCGAATGATTAATTGCATATCGACTTGAGGTATTTTAATAATTCACTTATTTCCGTTTTCGTGCGAATAACATTTTGCGAGCGCGCAAACGTCTCAAGTGGCTCGCGCTCGACATTTAACGCTTCTTATTTTTATGTGAGATAAATGTTATAGTCGGGCGCACTGGCGGCCAACTGGCATCGCATAACCATCGCATAACCCAGAACGAGAATTGCGAATGCGACTTTGTCTTGGAATTACACTGGCATTTCTTACTCGTACTCGAGATATTAATAACTTAAATTTACTTTTTGCACAAAAAATATAAAAAATAAAAATACTTAACGTACGAATCCGGTTACAATAATGACAGTGTTAAGATTTATGTATCTCGTGCGTAGCTATTATTAAGTCTGAAGGCGTTTCCGATTTTGATTTTGATCGTGCAGCGATTACATCCCTACTAATATTATAAATGCGAAAGTCTTGATGTTTGTTACACTTTCACGCAAAAACTACTTAACCGATCATCATGAAAATTTGTACACACATTCTTAGTGGTCCCCGAATGGTTATAGGCTACTTTTTATTTAATAAAAAAAATTATTTTTTAAATAAAATAAAGAAATTGTTTAACCAATAATACCTCTGCATCTGGCTATTTGACTACTTTAACGCCATCTAGCATTCCAGCAATGAAGCTCAAACCTATGTACTATAGTACCATCACACTGTATTATCACACTGTATTACCGACAGCTACGTCAACATCAAATCCAATTGACTACACTATGGAGACTGTACACTATACTTCCATAGACTATACTTTCAGCCATTTTAAACTTCCCGCCATTCTACTTCATTGTTACTTCTTCTGTGACTACAGACGCGTACGGAAGCAACTTCATTATTTTAGATATTCGCAAGCGAAGCAGCGGGTTAAAGCTAGTCGTAAATACTTGACTAACACACTTATAATTACATATATTACATAAATTTGTTTATAGGCAGACATTTTCCGGTTTTCCGGTTTTTGTTTTTTGCTTTTAAATGATCAAATTACGCATCTATTACATGATTGATTGATTGATTGATCTTTTTGTTGAAAACTGCGCTCATTTTCGCAAAATGAAACAAAAAGCCAATAGAGATAACGACGACGTGCATCATGATTGATGGATTGATTGAGTGCCGATTAATAACATACTCTTCTGATAGTTTTTCGAGTGTATTATTATTTTATCAACATGTTTACATTTATACATTTTTTGTTTTTGTTTTTTTTTTTTTCTGTGTGCTTTTAAAGCTCCAGCACGGATATGAGCGCGCTTAATTTGCATCCGAAATTAAAAATAATTCAACTCCGGCGGGCATTATAATATTATGTTTGCGTAACTCGCGAAAGGGGTGCGAAAGCGTTTAAATTATACGGCGGAAATTCGAAGCTGCGTGGAAGCTCTTGCGCCCTCCACACAGCGATGTAAAATAAATTAGGTAATAGCTTTTTGCTAATTGTGCTTGCGGGGGAGTGCGAGTGCCATGCACTATCTCGATCGTGGAATTTCCACCTGCAAAACTCTCCGAAAAGGGTTGGTAAAAGCTCGTAATTATAATATTGAGTTTTTGGCGACTTTACATTTAAATTTCACTAAAATTTATCCATGAAAAAAAAGCTCCATTGAATTTTGATTGAATTAAACTCGTCTAATAACCGGAAAACTTTGAGGCCAAGAAATCCGATCGCTAGTTAATCATCCAATTATGTTCAGCCCGAAAAAGCTCGCGAGCTGCGAGCTTAACTACACGCATAAACTTTGCAAATTGTTTTTTAATAAAGCTCGCCACTGCATTGTTTTCAACGCGGTTAGGAGATTAATGAACACTTTAAATCACAAAAAAAATTTTTTTCTTTTTATTCGCAAAGCTTTTGATCTTTTGATATTTTAACTGGGAGCTTTTGAAGTGTTTGAACCTTAGATGAATCTTGTATATAGCTCGCATGCATCTTGAATGAAGTGTTTTCGTTTGTGTTTGCACACAGGAAATGTCTCTTGAATCTTGAAGCTCACAGCTTAAAGCTTTCGCTTTGTGCCATCTTGCCGCCTAGCCCCAGCTAAATGGGCAATAGTTTTGTGTGGAGACGAAAACGAAGTCTGGAAAACTCGGCACAGACAAAAGAACTACATTTAAGATTATCGTTTTATAAAACTTTTAATTATAACAGAAATAAATTTCAACACGAAACAAAGGAAACATTTCGAGGCGAGTTTTAAGAAGATTTATTAAACGTAAACAAGTTCGACAAGTAATTTTTAATTAAGTAGATTGTTTTCTTATTCCCCCTGGAATGTTTAATTTGTAAAATGTAAACGAGCGCCATCTGTGACACAAGGAAAAAAACAAAAGTGTTTTTAGGTTAAATTAGGTTAAATCGAAAACAGTCTTAATACTAAGAGAATATCCGTGTATAAACTTGTTTCGTGAGTATTTATTAGCTGCTGGTTGTGTGTAGATGTAGACCCTGAAGGCCTGATCGAATCCGAGTGCAAGATCTCGAAGAGCGGACAGGTTGGCTATAGATTTATGGCTTTTAATTAGATGGTTAAAAAGCGCGCGCGTCGGCCGGAAAGATTTGTTGCCGATTCGTTCGACTGCAATTAATTAATGCTGTTTCGATACGCGCCGCGCTAATTATAATGAACATTATAGCATGGACTACATAGACGACTTCGATATCTACTCGTAAATAATATTTATTCAAACTATAATTTTGCGTAAAATATGATAAATTTTATTTTTATTCCTCTTTTTTTAGACATAAAATTTGTTCTATATTAAATTAGCGTGTTGTAATCGGTCGTAAAATTTAATAGTTGTTTACTGTTTGAGGCGGATTAAGTCATGGGAAAGTTTCAAAAATTTTTAACCGACTTAAGCCAAGGTTAAGATGATCTCAAGAATGTTGGCGCCAGAGATTTTTATTTCTTTCTTTTTACTTAATAAAAACATTTTTTTTAATTTTTAAATTATTTTTTTAAGGACTTTATTCAAAATCTTTACATCCTGATGATTTTATCTTGAATTGGACAATACCAAGACGTGTCTCTGAGTTTGGTCAACATGTCAGCCATAAATTGGAGACTTTTCATGATGGTCCAGTGCATTTTAATGTTACCATCGATGAACGTGAACACATGTTGGTTCTACAACCGTATAAGAGCTTTATAGCTCCGAATTTAATTATAGAACGCATGCGTGCTAAAAATTTACACACACGAAACCGGCTTAAGAGGAGTTTGGATTGTTATTATCATGGACATGTGTACAATGATGAAAAATCACGTGTTGCAGTTTCAACCTGTAATGGTTTGGTATGTTTATATTTATTTATAAAACAAGCTTTGAGCTTTTTAATATTTTTTTAAACAATTTTTAGACTGGGTTTATTCATACAGAAACCGGAAGATATTTTATTGAACCAGCTTTGATTTCTAACAAAGAAAATATACATAAACACTTGATATTTAAACGTGCAATTTCTGATGTGGGTAGAAACCGGAAGCGGAAAAAACGACGCCGGAGGGGTTCCAAAAACTGTGGGACACGTGAACCTAAACGAATGACAGAGTAAAGAATATAAATATTTATTTGATAATTTTATGTATTTTATTTTTTTTATATGTAGATTAGAGTGGTATCAACATACCGGAAGTGGAAAAATAAACGTACAGGAAAAACGCCACAAGATGCGTGAAAAGATCCGATTTGCTTCGATGAACAACTTGAAAAAACTCAAATACAAAAGCGTGCATCACAAGCGACATCAGAGGCACAGAATTAAGCGATCCATCAGCAGCCCACGGTATGTGGAGGCCCTTTTAGTAGCTGATTCGTCCATGGTTGAGTTTCACGAAGATGGCGATGTGGAAACGTATCTTTTGACAATCATGAATATGGTCTGTGATTTTTCCATCTTTTTTTTTTCTCTTACCAATTTTCTTATTTTTATTTTTTAGGTTTCTTCATTATATCTAGATCCTAGTATAGGAAACCTTATCAATATTGTAGTGGTCAAGATAATCCTCATTGATGATCCTTCCGCAGCTCCCGATTTGAATATAACTGTAAACGCGGATTTGACTTTGAAAAACTTCTGTAAATGGCAAAAGGAATTGAATCCCAAAAATGATTCCCATCCACATCATCATGATGTCGCCATTTTGATTACCAGGAAGGATATTTGTGTTAAACAGAATACTCCTTGTAATACCCTTGGGGTTGCTAATGTTGGAGGGATGTGTAAAAGTGGAAGGAGTTGTAGTGTCAATGAAGATAATGGGATATCACTAGCACATACCATTGCTCATGAAATGGGTCACAAGTAAACATAACCCTCTTTTTTTTCTTCTACTGATTTCTTAAAATTTTATAATTTTAGTTTTGGGATGTATCATGATACAGATAAAATAGGTTGTAAGGGACGTGAGGGTTCCATGCTCCACATAATGACACCTTCCTTTGAAGCGGATACTGTAGAGGTATCCTGGTCATCTTGCAGTCGTAGATATGTCACCACTTTCCTTGAGTAAGAATTTTAAATTTAAAAGTGTTTAATATAACTTCTTGTAATAAATGATTCATCAGTAAGGGATATGGTGAATGTCTCCAGGACTCACCATCTGAAGAAATCGCCGAGTATGAATACCCGCAACTCCCAGCTGGGGCTATCTACAACGCAGAGTATCAATGTCGTCTGCAGTTTGGTAATAATGCCACTGTATGCGTGCAGTTGGATGAAATCTGTACCAGGTTATGGTGTGAGGTGAATGGGTCTTGTACAACTCAGCTAAGACCAGCTGCTCGGGGACTCATTGTGGGAAACACATGGTGAGGAAATTCAGGTCTCTAAAAGATTTTTACTGAGGGTGTACTTTAGTGGTGTCAAGAACAAAATGTGTTCCTATGATGGACCCACCAATTGCAATCGATGGAGGTTGGGGAGAATGGTCCCCTTGGAGTGACTGCTCTAGAACCTGTGATGCAGGTGTCTCCATCATGGAAAGGGAGTGTGACCATCCTAGACCCAGTGGTGGGGGTAGGTTCTGTGTAGGAGAACGTCGTAGGTACAAAATTTGCAACTCGGATCCCTGTAGGCAGAAGACACCTACATTCAGGGCACAGCAGTGTAGTGCTTTTGATAATGAGACCTATGAGGGTCAACTTAATACATGGGTACCATTTTTTGATAAAAGTAAGGTATCATAAACCAATTTTAAAAACCTTTAATACAAGTTTATTTACAGATGAACCTTGTAAACTTTACTGTTCTGATGCTAATGATACAGTGATAGTCCCATGGAAAGAAAGGGCTGCTGATGGTACACCATGTAATGTAGGAACAAGGGACCTCTGTATTGCTGGTATTTGCAGGGTTGGTACCTAAATATTAAAATAAACTAAAAATTAAGTAATATTTTGTTATGGCTTAGAAAGTAGGTTGTGATTGGACAGTGGACTCCATAGCAGTTGAAGATGCCTGTGGGGTATGCCAGGGAGATGGTACCACATGCGACACCATCAAAGGAATCTACCACAAACAAAGTGNCTTATCAATATTGTAGTGGTCAACTCATTTTTTTCTCCTGTTTTGTTAAAATTTTCATATTTTAGTTTTGGGATGTATCATGATACAGATAAAATAGGTTGTAAGGGACGTGAGGGTTCTATGCTCCACATAATGACACCTTCCTTTGAAGCGGATACTGTTGAGGTATCCTGGTCATCTTGCAGTCGTAGATATGTCACCACTTTCCTTGAGTAAGAATTTCTGTTCTTCAAAAAGTGTTTGATATAACTCCTTGTAATCAATGATTCATCAGTAAGGGATATGGTGAATGTCTCCAGGACTCACCATCTGAAGAAATCGCCGAGTATGAATACCCGCAACTCCCAGCTGGGGCTATCTACAACGCAGAGTATCAATGTCGTCTGCAGTTTGGTAATAATGCCACTGTATGCGTGCAGTTGGATGAAATCTGTACCAGGTTATGGTGTGAGGTGAATGGGTCCTGTACAACTCAACTAAGACCAGCTGCACCGGGGACTCATTGTGGGAAACACATGGTGAGGAAATTCTAGGTCCCAAAATATAAAATTTAGGTCTTTATTGATGGTATTCTTTAGTGGTGTCAGGAACAAAAATGTGTTCCTATGATGGACCCACCAATTGCAATCGATGGAGGTTGGGGAGAATGGTCCCCTTGGAGTGACTGCTCTAGAACCTGTGATGCAGGTGTCTCCATCATGGAAAGAGAGTGTGACCATCCTAGACCCAGTGGTGGGGGTAGATTCTGTGTAGGAGAACGTCGTAGGTACAAAATATGCAACTCGGATCCATGTAGACAAAAGACACCTACATTCAGGGCACAGCAGTGTAGTGCTTTTGATAATGAGACCTATGAGGGTCAACTTAATACATGGGTACCATTTTTTGATAAAAGTAAGTGATTATCCAAAATTATTTACAATTTTTTTAAAAACGTAACTTACAGATGAACCTTGTAAACTTTACTGTTCTGATGCTAATGACACAGTGATAGTCCCATGGAAAGAGAGGGCAGCTGATGGTACACCTTGTAATGTAGGGACAAGGGACCTCTGTATTGCTGGTATTTGCAGGGTTGGTACCTAAATATTAAAATAAACTAAAAATTAACTAAAATTTTATTATGGGTTAGAAAGTAGGTTGTGATTGGACAGTGGACTCCATAGCAGTTGAAGACGCCTGTGGGGTATGCCAGGGAGATGGTACCACATGCGATACCATCAAAGGAATCTACCAGAAACAAAGTGGAGGAGCTGGATACAAAGAAATGTTTGTTGTTCCAAGTAAGCACAAAAAAATTCAATCACCTCCTCATACAGAGTGTCCCAGAAACAAGAAACAAACAAAAATACCAACAATGCAAGGAATTTAACGATTTTGCGGCTTCATCACCACAATCCGGGGTGTTGTGCGCGTGTGGTTAAAATACCGCCTAACCGCCCGTTCATTAATTCCACTTCCTACGCCATGCACATCCGGGCGCATCCGTTTCACACTTTAATTTTAATCCGATTTACAGTTACATAATGCGTATGATAATTACCTGTAATCTTCGTTTGCGTCACAGCGACTACAATAAAACTGTTTTTGTAGGTGGTTCTCGAAATATTCGCATTGAGGAAATTGATTATTCAGCGAATTACATTAGCATTGCGAGCGCAGTCTCACAGCGCACGTACTTGAACGGAAAAGGGTAAGTCACCCCTCAAGGCGTACACCTGTGTACTAGTACTAGTTTTCTTGAAAGACGACGTCCGCACATACTAGTCGAGTAATGAAGTACCCGTTTTCCCACAGGCACATCACCCTCCCGGGCGAGTACACCGTGGCAGGTGTGCAAGCGCTCTACGAACGGGATAATGAATTGGAAAAGATACGCATTCCAGGACCCATTCAGGAATCCATCTTGTTCTATGTACGTATGAAATAAAAATTTCTTCATTTTTTTTTTGTTTTAAATTCTGCATCATTATTTTTTTACGATTGAAAACGGCAAAAAGTTATTCTAATCGTTCACGCTCGATTCGGCACGCTTCGGCAAATCGTTAATTAAAATACGCCCATCCGCGGAGGCCGCTTTTGAGCACTCTCGTCATTAAAACGCAAGCATGGGATGAATAAAAAACCCAACGATCCTACCTATCAAGTGTATCTTCCGGTCGATTGAAGCTCACTTCAAGCCTCACTCATTTTTTCCATTTTTATTCAAGTGTTGAAAATTAAACTTTTTTCTCATCTCTTTTGCTCTGAATTTAATTTTTTAGATATTCTTCCATGGTAATACATACAACCCAGGAGTGAAATATGAGTTTACAATGTCGAAGAAGAAACCCCCGAAAGAAGTTAAATATGACTGGGTGCTTGACGAATGGACGCAATGTTCGGCAACATGCGGGGGTGGCACACAGACCCAACTGGCACTATGTCAAGAGTCCATAATAGGTTTCAATACACTTTTAGCTGAAGGATCTGCTACTATTGTCGATGAATCGTACTGCGAGGAGTCGGAACGACCGCCTCCGGCGTTAAGGGTGTGTAATGAAGAAAACTGCCCTTATCACTGGTGGATAGGACCATGGCAATCATGTCCTGTTAGTTGTATACCACAGGTAAGCAAAAAGAAGAAATCTGTAAATTTTATAAATTAGGTTAGTGATTCACAACTATTGATTTTATTTTTTCTTCTGTGAGTAGCAAGGGGAGAAAGCTGTACGTCGCAGGAGTGTAATGTGTGTAGATGGACTAGAGATGGCGTTGCCTGATCATTTCTGCGCGGCGGATACCCGCCCCAAGGAGCGGGAACCCTGCAAAGGCGTGCCGAAGTGTGTCGAGGACAATGGGGATGAAAACGAGACCTAAATTTCGTCAGTTTGCACCAAGGCCATTGTATTTTACACCACAAACACGATAATTTATTTTATTAACCGGTAATTTTACAAATATCAGTTTAGAGTTAAGGGTTGACCCTTTTTTAATTGCACGATTACTTAAATATTTAAATATTTAACAATAAATTAATGATTAACAACAATTGTATTATTTAACGTTTAACTGAAAGACTGATTAAAATTATTTTAATTTAGAGGTTTTATGTTATTCAGTTCTTATCAACCCTTCTATATAGTTTAAAAGGGGTAGGTCACAGTAGAAATTAATGTCTTCGTTGCATTTTGTTGAATATTCATGGTCGGAATCGAATCTAAAATGAAATATGTGAGTAAAACGAGTGGAAAAGTTGAATAAAAAACGCTGGAAATATTATTATAGCAAATTTGCAATTTGCAGCCGGCGGACGATGGTGAGATTCGTTATCAAAGACGACACTTACTTGAATAGAGTCATCAAAAGGTCTTTCACTAACGACGTGCCTCTCAGGGGCACATAGGCGCGAGCATCGCAAATTGCACGGGTTATACAGGCTGTTCCATTAAAACCCAAACTAAAAAAATTAATTTTTTAAATTTTTTCAAAATTTTTGAAAAAATATTTTTACCCTTGGAATGCTATTGATATCTGCTCAAACACTTCTCTTTTTTGACGTCTGTGAACGTCTTTTCGCCGTTTTAACCATCGCGTATCACTGGGCAAACTAAAAGGCACATCACACTCCGCTGCCAGACGTAAACCAGTTGGTGTTTTGATCATCAACGACTTGATTAATGATAGTGTCATCTGAAGCAAACAAATTTTTTAAAAATTAAAAAACTGAAAATTTATGTAAGTGAATGATTTCATAAACAAATATGGATCATGTATATCCGTTCGATTGCGGTCCATCCATCCATCCATCGCCGGTTTCCGTAATTAGCTGATGTTGCCTTTCCGCAACTTTAAATGAATTTCCCGACCTCATATCCGGCGATCGGCGATAGACGCGACTGCCGTTTACCACCCGCTGACAAGCGCACACCTTACACATTGGCAGCGCATCGATTTTCAAGTGACAGCCGTTTACTCCCGTCCTGCGATTTCTATACGGCTATACAACATCGACGATACTCGTTTCAAGTGCTCGTTCACATCCGATATTCGATAGGTATGCTAAGGGGTAAGTTAACCGTTAAAGTCTACTTCAGGAAAGTGCAAAAGTGCAAAATTAATACATTATAACATAAAATTTATCAAAAAATGAATCTGGTTAAAAATAAAAAGATTGATTTACTTACAATAAAACTAGCTCCCTTTGGAAATGTCAAATAACGCTTCTTTCGATTGAGTAATTTATTTTCTCGCTTTGTGACTCCGTTTGCACCCCAATTCGCAACACTGTCATCGATTCTAGGTCGAATTTCTCCATTGAGACACAAAATAAATTCACAAATAACTACCATTAAAAATATATTAACTAAAAATTGTATTTTCATTTTAATTTCTTGTGATAATATAAATTTACACTTTGATGACGCCTGTGCAACGGTTTTCAAAGCACTAAAATTTATCCAAAGTGACTTAAGTCACATTGTCGTTAATTATCACGTCAATGTGCGAAGAATAAACTTCTTAAGGAAAAAAGTGTCTTAAGTATGCGCAGTGTGTACTTAAGTAGTATTGACTTAAGTCAAAACCGTTAACTTGTCTACGTTACTACCATTAATCACATTAATACACAACCAACGTAATCGTAAACATGCGCTGTTGTACTACACGTAGTATTATCATCTGTTTAGTGCTCTTATCAATGTTATCAACAGTGCAATTAATCACGAATCAAACCATTGAGTATTCTGATCATCGACGTGTGAAACGAAAAGTGATTTTTACGAAAAACAGTAAAATATTTGTAAGAAATTATTTTATTAAGCAAAAAATTAATTGTTAACAATTTATTATTTTGTTTATAGTTTCGTGTTAATGGTAAACTAAACGTAGTACCCTATGTACAAATTTTTGCTTATGGTTATGCCGTTCGTGTCAATTGGGACTTACCAGAGAGTTTATACAGAAGACATAAATTTTTCAAGAGGGATTTACACTCGGAATTAGAAAATATAAAATTTGACCAAAGGTAAACATTTTTTAATCTTTAGAAACATATTTTATACTAAAAATTAAATTTTAGTGAACATTTTCAAACATACGCATGTTTATTCACATACGTGTGTAATCAAATAAGTAGAATATCAACATCGAAAGAAAATGGCCGTAAATGTGGGGTTATGTGTTCCATCGGCCGAATTATCAAGGAATCCAGTGGTATGGAAGCAGATTTTTTTAAATCTATCGTTAATAAATGTAATTATTATATCGATACGTGTATGAATCGAAGTAGTAATGATTTAAGCAATAAAAATGTGTTTATGTAACTTTCTGCCACACTCTGTATATTTTTTTCTACTCCCAGTGTTAATTTTTAACTGTTCACTTTCAGTGGTAATTTATGTTAAACTCTTTGTAAATATCATTGACCTATGGAGTAAAATATTACCTCAAAGTTATTCTGCGTGTAGTCAGCTAATTGTAAACATGAATATTTTGTTTATAACAATTTTAGTTATGGTAACTTTTTGGAATTTTGCTGATGCAGTGCTTGATACCAGTCGAACTGTGAAAGAACGTCAGAAAAGAGCGTTTTTGGTTTATCAACCAGGTTTAAATTGGGTGCAAGTATGTATTTTTTCAATTTTTGCTAAAATTTTGCATAAAAATTTTTTTTTCCGAAAAAAAAAAGATGGTGATGGGTATTGGTCTGCCTATTGAAGTCCAAGATAACAGTATCACAATGGGAGCAGTGGTAAAGTCCTATTATGAACTCCCAAACAATGTCACGCAGTATACCAACCCTACTATTGATATAGAGCGTAAAAAGCGGAGGCGCCGGGCAACACCGTCCAGATGGGATATTTACAACACTTTACAGGATTTTATCAAAAGGTAAATTTTTAAATATTCATTTCTAACAAAAATTTCTAACAAAAAAGGAATAGTTTTGGGTTTTCCGATGGAAAGTCATGTTTGTTGAATTCTGTTTGTGAGTCCTCGAAACACAACTTCGATCCAAACGCCGGGGTGCTTGCCGAACTGCTCCACCTGCTTTTGACGTAAGTAAACGGACAAAATCCGAGGCTTTTCACATCTTCACATCAAAAATGTATCAGTCCCTTCGCCGTGCGTTCAATCATCCCTCGAAGTTAAGCTTCGGGATGTCGAACGTTACGAAAGCATGAAATTTCAGCATGTGTCTATTTCCAGACCTTCAACTACCTCGGAAGATGTGGAAAACGCATTGGATAGAGACTTTTACGTTGCGGAAATGACCGGAAAAAGGACCACGAATATAGATTGTCAACGGCTGTATCCATGCGAAAGTAATCTGGTACAGAAATTTACTCGCTTATTTTCATAATGTACGCAAAACATGCTTTTGTATTTATTTTGTGACGGTGAATAAATCAACATAACTTTTGGTACAATCACGATAATATTTGGCACATTGTCCTGGCAGTGCTTTGGCACCGAGCATTTGCGCCGCATAATAATCGTTGTCGGAGTTTTCGCTGGGTGTTTCACGGGTTGTCGTTGGCCGGAAGAGGACGTGCAGAATCTCGTCCATTATGCCACGTGATTTATCGATGGGCACGTCGGCTAATTCGCATATGGTACGCAGGAGGCATTCTTTACCGCCGAAGCCATAAACCTGCGCGTATTGTTCGAGGATTTTATAAACATCCCAACGGCTTGTGCTCAGCTCCGCGGAGCGTCTTTGGCGGTTTCTTGCGTAATAAATATTCGGATTGGTGTAATCGTTAGAGTTTCGAGGCAACAAGTATAATGCTTTTATTACTACACCTACAACGACGGATTCATCTTGCAGATCAACTGGAAAACCAGCACCCATAATAGCCTAAAATAATTAATTTTTTTGTTGTAAAATTTTTTATTTTTTTTATTTTTGAAGAAAAAAATTACTTACTTGAACTTTAGATACAGGACTAGGATAAACCAGACTCCGCTTGCTCCTGAGTCTATTATCCGTGCTGGGGAATTCACAAAGGACAACGCACACAAGCGTAACGAGCGCCAGGACGAGTCTAGTCATCTTTAATCACGTCCTCGCTGCGGTGACGGCAGAGATGTCAAACGAAGAACAAAGCCGAGCAGATGCCTCGCTTCAGTTGGTGTGGAACACCGAGCAGAGACTAATCGACAACTGGCCGACAGGACTCATCAGGGATAACACCGCATACATTTTAATTAGTGCTAATTAAACTAATCCCAACTAGAAATAACTGTAAAATAATTAGAACATTGTTTCAGTAACAGTAAAGTATTTATTTTTTAATTTTTAGAAAAAAATTCTACAGTTTAGATGAATTTCAAGATGGAGGCATCACAAGAGGGATACATTTCTTTGCAGTTATGAGTTTTATTTGCTGAATGGTCGTAGATGTCTTCGTTTTCATAATCATCAATTGGTTTTACTCTAAAAAATAAAAAATTAATAAAAATTTACAAAAAAATTATTTTTTTTTTTACTTAAAAATTGCTTTCAGTATTTCCTCCATAAAACTACCCTTTTCTGATCCCTTCTGATGAACCTCACAAATAGCCCTCAATAAACAAGCCTTCCCATCTTTACTTTGTCTAAAAATAACCACAAATAAATTATCCTTCCATTGACACTTTAGATAAACTCACGTAGATAAAAACTTTTCAATTTTTCCGTAAAGATCCCTCCGAGTCCGACGATGTACTTGATGATAAATCGATGCGGGTGAACTTGGTGTTGACTTATAATACACCTCACCCCTGCTTCCCGCAGACGTAACCCGATCACCTTTCGTGAGTTGTATCGGCTGTGAGAAGCGATAATGCACCGGTTGCTGCTGGGGAAACTGCTGACGACGGCGGTTTTGATAGTTCTGATATCGATACCTGTTGTAAGCAGGCGAGTAGTTGATGGAGATCGGATTTTGATATCCGCTGTATCCGAACTGATCGTTGAACGCCCCCAGAAGGTTTATAGCCGATTGTGACACTTTGGTAGTCGCTGGAGGTGATTGTTTCTTGTTTGCAATCGGATCGAGAATTGTGTACTTCCCGGGCGGGTCTTTGCGATGTAGGAGCTCGGCTTTTTTTCGATAGGGTTGAAATGGGTCGTGGGGTAACTCCCAGGCCAAGGCTGCTGTTCCTCCGATTGTGAAAATTGTACTTTTACCAATTACAGGCATAGTTAAACAATAAACTATAAATAATATTATTTTAGGTTAGAAAATGATTAATTACAGAATTTTTACTAACCTAATTGTAGGGAACTTCCTTCCGGGAAAATTAAATATCTTTTACGTCTTGATAAAATCTTCATAGAATCTTCATCAGAATTTTTATTTTGAGTTGAATTTTGGGAATAGATTATGCTGATGTTGAAGCATAGAATAGCAAATATAATACGTCGCATTTTGCTCTCAGAATCTCAGAATTCTTTTTCTTTTCGCTCGGTTTTTCTTTTCCGGTTGCTTGACTTTCTTTCGCTTGAGTCGGCTTTGTGCGCTGAAATGAACCCAATAATCACGGGAAGACGAGGCGTAAATAAATCAAAAAAGAAACGCAGAAACCCAACGGTAACTCATATTTACACCGACAATTAGCAACTTCAGAATTGAATTAAATTGTTTCAGTTCTAATTCTAACTCATATAAAAACACATAACTGTAATATTAACTGTAATAATTTATTAAGAATAATACGAGTACATTCCTAGTGCCATATCAACTAAAGAAAAAGTACACTTAGAATATTTTATTGAACATTCTTGAGACTTTTTTCCATGAAGATGTGCTTCTTGATATAATCTATGATCTTCTGGTTCGTGGTCAAGTATTTCCTGTATTGGAAATCTGTAATTTTAAGTTTTTAGTTGTTTTATTTTAGACTTAGAATTTATTACCTACCCAAAGACGGTCATGATGCTTTTTTCTAATAGCCCTATCTCTTCATGATTCGATATAAACATAGCAGCGGCTTCACATAAAGCTCTAAGCACACATTGTTTGCCGTTATAGCCCATTCTGTAACACAAAATAAGCGGTCATTTCAGAGATCCAAGTTATCAAATAATACGCCTACTCACGAGTCCATGATGAGTTCCATTTTCTGATACAAATCACGTCTGCTACGCCTTCTGCGGACAAATCCCCCGGGGGTTTTGTAGTCTTCTAAAATTGCACTGCTGTTGGGAAGGTCGTAAGAAATGCCCCAGTTAAGGCCTTCGGTGATGAATTCTGAAGGTCGTATGATAGCCTGTGACGTCATACAAATCGCAATCTGGAATATATTGATAGTTATTTAAAGTAATACTTAGATGTAGAATTTTAATTTACTTACTGATAGGGAAGCTCCTTCTGGAAATGCAATATATCTTTTATGGCGAATTGGAATTTTAGAAATTATAGGTGATATTATGATTAACATCAGAATTGATTTTAGAATTATTTTTGTATACATCTTTCAACGTTGTTTACGAGTATGACAGAATAAGAATGGAATTAGTTAGAATGCACAAGGAGAATGAGTTTAGTTAAATAGTGTTAATTAAGTCATGTTGACTTAAAATTTATTAGAGAAATTACGAATACAGTCCTAGTGCCATATCTACCAATGAAAATGTACACTTAGAATAAAGTTCTGAACACTTTTCTATATCAAATAATTGTTGTCCTTAATATGTGCATCTCTGTAACTCCTGTGGTCATTTGGTTCGTGACTTAGAATTTCCTGGGTTGGAAACCTATAAAACTAAACTTAAGCCAAATCACTTTTAAAAAAATAGTTTACCCAAAAATTATTCCCAAAACTTCTTCTAGAAAACTCTTTTTTCTTTGATTGAATATAGTGGCAGTTTCACAGAGGGCTTTCAAGATGCAATCTTTACCATTATAGCCCATTCTGTAATAAGAAGTGATTTAGAATGCAAAAAATTGAAAAAAAAAACAAATAGGAAGTAATTACGAGTTCATAATAAGTTCCATCTTTTGATATAAATCACGTCTGCTGCGTCTTTTACGAACAAATCCACCTGGTGTTCTGAAATCTTCTATAATTGAAGTGGCATTTGGTAAATCATAAGATATTCCCCAATTTATGGCCTCTGTGAAGAATTCAGTAGGAAATAAAAAAGTTTGAGCTGTCATACAAAGAGCAATCTATAAATAATTAATTTTAATTATTAAACATAAAACATTCAGATACAGAATTTTGCTTACTGATAAAGTTGCACCTTCAGGAAATGCTAAATATCTTTTTTGTCGTTTTAGGTTAGATCCTACAGTCTTAGAATTTATTTTAAATACAAATAACTCCAATATCAACAGATAAAAACAAAAATTGGCAAAACGCATATCGACAAAATTATTTACGAGTTATATAAACCGTAACTGTAAGAAAACTGAACAGTACGCAGAATTCAAGCAGTAATCTTGAGTTTGGTGCTAATTAAGGGACACATAAGTAGTTTACTTTAAATCTTAACACTATACAAACAAAAATCAATAAGAATTGACACTTTGAAAGATAAACTATAACAAGTGATACAAAAATCTTATTTTTAAACTGGAATATTTTGAATATCAAAATAAAGAAGGAATATTCTGAGTGTAGAATCCAAGCGCCAGGTCGATCAATGAAAATGTACATTTGGAGTACCTATCGGAACACTCATCCGGATCAGATAATCCTCTCCCTAAAAGATGAGCATCTTGATAGTGGCAATGTTCCTCTGGTTCCAGACTCAGAATTGGTCTTATAGGAATTCTGTAGAATACAAAAATATAATGTAGATTTTATTTTATATGATGTGATTAAAAATATTTAAAATACAATACCGAAATATTATTCTGATGATTTTTTCAACCAAACCTTCACTTTTTTGATTGAACAAAACTCCTGTTTCACATAAAGCTTTTAGAATACAATCTTTTCCATGGTAACCCATTCTGAAACATAAAAAATTTAATTTACTATGTTTTTTAATGATTTTTAATTGTTTACGAATCCATAATAAGTTCCATTTTTTCATATATTTCTCGTCTATTGCGATTTCTATGTCTAAATCCTCCTAGAGTTTTGTAGTTTTTAAGAACTACTGTATTATTGGGTAAATCAAAAGCCATGCCCCAGTTTATGCCTTGTGAGAATATTTCATGAGGGTTTATAATGGCTTGTTCTGTCATACAAAATGCTACCTAAATAAAATAATTCAGACTTTTTATTTATTATGTATATTTTATTAATTCTGATGTTTTTCTTACCGAGAACGTGGTACCGGCTGGAAATGCTACATATCTTTTACGACGACTACGAATCAATTCTGAATTAATTTCTAAGACTAACAAAATTAAAAACAATAATAAAAGGATTAGACTCATTTTTAAGCCACTTGAATACTTCTTTAAGGTTGCAAAGATAAACTTAGAATGACAAGAAATATATTGTCACATGTCACATAATTAGTTGGCTTTAGAAATTAACACTTTTGCAAAAACAAGAAGAGAATAATTTACAAATGCTCCAGATTCTAATATAACGTAACAAAATTATGCAATTTTATTATTTGCGAATTTTATAGTTACAAATCTGTTGATTTTCAGAAATTAAACAATTTATGAAAACAATTATAATAATAATGGATCTAATTAAATTAACGATGGAATATTCTGAGTGTAAAGTCCAAGTGCCATGTCAATTAAAGAAAACGTACATTCTGAGTATCTAACGGCACATTCATCGAGGTCAGAGACATTTTGTCCAGAAATCCTTGCATTTCTATATTCCTTATGGTCATTCGATTCATGTTTTAGAATTTCTTCTATTGGAAAGCTATAAAATACAACTTATACAAATAAAATTCTACATCTAAATAAATTTGTTTACCCAAATACAATTCTTAGGATTTTCTGCACAAGACCATTACTTCCTTGATTAAACAACCCACCAGCTTCACAGAGAGCTTTCAGAATACAATCTCTACCATTATATCCCATTCTGAAATTACCCACAGTTACAGATTTTATAAAATTTAGTTTTAGATTTTGTATAGGTAACTTACGAATCCATCATAACTTCCATCTTTTGATACAAATCACGTCTACGTCTTCTCCTGGCAACAAATCCAGGTGATTTAAAATCATCTAAAATCGCAGTGTTGTTAGGAAGGTCAAACGATAAACCCCAATTGAGACCTTCGCTGAAAATCTGCATAGGATGCGCGATTGTGTTTGTCGTCATACAAACCGCGACCTGTTTGTGTGATCCAAGCGGAATATTTTATTTATACGGTCAGATTTTGTGAAGTGGAAAAGACGAAAAATAAAATTTGTAAAATTGCTTACAGACATCGTGGCACCCTCGGGGAAAGCAACGTATCTCTTGCGGCGCAGCGAATTTATTTGCGACATTAACAAAGCGAGCAGCAGCAATAAAACCACAAAACGCATATTGGGAATCACAAACAAACACAAAAAGAAGTCAAACTTAGACTATGACTAGAAGAAAAGAAAAAAGTTAAGTTAACTTAACTTAAGTCAAGTTAAGTGTTAATTAATTTACTTAAGAGGTTAACACCGGTTAAAACTGTGAAAAAATAACTGAAACAAATGATTAGTTGGTGTAATTTGTGTAATTCAATTTCGCAAGTATGGTTAATGATAAAATTGATAAAAACCATGGTCGGGATGACACTGGAGTGATATGAATTAATGAGGATGCCATCAAAAAAGGCAAGTCAGCCGCAGCGGAACGATTTGGTGTAACCAACGGGAAATATTAGTTTCATTCATCTGGCTGCTGTCGCATAGCCGCCGCCGTTGCTTCTGGGAGATGTGAAACCCACTGCCCCCGGCCTCCACCCCCAAACACACACAAAGTGTGGCAGAGTGCGTTCTCGTTGCTCGTCGGCGTTATTGACTCGCTGCGTTCGTCCGCCCTCGGCGGGCATCGGGCGGCGGCACGAGTGGCGGCGTCGGCGGGCGCCGCGGATGCTGCACCCCAGTAGTAGCCAGGGATGCTGAAGCGTCCCCGGCCCGTCCGCCCCAGCCAGCCCGCTCGCGTCCGTTGTTTCTAAACTTTTCGCACACGCACCACTTTTACCAAGATTATGGTGTCGATAGTGGAGTTATGTGAAGACCTAGACCATGGTTCTACCAGCTTAATAAGCATGTAAAAAGGTAACACCTATTTATCTTTTATTCTGATTTTCCGGTCGCGCTGGTATCAGTTGCGGAAAAGTGGGCGTTCACTGCGTTAGGCCTTCTACTCGTACATAAAAGACATTATAATACAAACAGGATTATATTTTTTCTAAAACCCGTTTTATTCTCATTCTAAACTAAAAAGGATGAAAAAAAAATCATCAAAAGTTTGGAAAAAATTAGCCTTTTAAAAATATGCTAATTTTTCGCGACTAAAACTCACATCAAAAGACTTTTTACACTCAGAAAAAAATCCTGAAAAGAGACAAAGGAGGAGTGGTGAAACTGATGAATCCTGGTGAGTGTTTCAAGGACCTGCCCCCTTTTTACAGCGCGCGGCCGCAAGCAACAAAAACGAATAAATATTGAACGAGTATTGAATGTTTCGCCCTCCGTCAGCCGAATTCAAGTGGATTAGCTACATACTATCTGCATATTTATTTCGGAAACTTTTAAGTGCTCACTTTTAAGATGTAACAACCAAAAAAAAAATATCCATCTGAAAAGTGACAAACGTTTCGGGACAAAAACCATTTAGAAGTTTTAATTAATTTATCGAGGCGCGCTTAATAAACGAAGACAAAGTTTCCGAGGTCCTGAAAGGCACACAACACAAACTTTCCAACAAACTTTTTGTCCTTTCGCCTTTTCTTCTCTAGATACAACCGAAAATAGATTATGACTTGTTATTATTAATGTTTATGTACTTGTGAAGTAGTAAAGTAGTAAAATTGAAATCGGAAAACGTTTTACCTCCAGCGACGGTGATGGCGGAAGCATCAATCAAAACCCGATTGCCGGTTCGTGTATTAATCACTTCCGCTGTTGATAAAACGGCGTTGCACCCCTGTGAGGGGAAACTATAACATCCCCTAATTCTAAATAACTAAAAGATGCTCTTTTGGTGTCTCTTGAGATTCGTGAATTAATTAAATCACACCTCGAATACGGAGTGGCTTGTATTGTTTGCTAAGGCATTTCATAAATCATTCAATGAACAAGCGCGTCATTTGTCATCTAATGCTTTTGTGTGATCCATGTGATTTGCATATATTCGCAGGACATAAATGATGGAGCTACTGCTCACGTGGTTCATACTCGGTTTGGGGAGCATCCCATCGATCAACTGCAATCCGGACGCGAAGCGGCTCTACGATGATCTCCTGTCGAACTACAATCGTCTCATCCGGCCCGTGGGCAACAACTCTGACCGGCTCACGGTCAAGATGGGTCTTAAGTTGTCGCAACTCATCGATGTGGTAAGGAAAGCATTTTTAACCATTTTGTTAAAATATAACGCGCCCTATTGATTTCTTAACGGTTCAATGGACCAGTCGGTGAGATGTGAGTTGACAAGGTCGTTTATCGGCTTCTCGCCTCGAATTAAAATTTATAAATTTGTCGTTCACTGTCGAAGCTCACAGAGTAACGTTGTGAAAGTCATGATGACGGCGTGTTATTAAATTAACTTGTCATTCTCACACCTTTGTGATAGTGTTTTTTTTTGTTTTTTGTTTTTTTGTATTTTGTTGGTTTGTCAATTCCCAATTATTGAATGCAGAGCAAGTCAAGTCAATTTCGATTAGGTACGCACCCAAGCGGAATCATTTCATCATCTGGTTGCTGTGCTCTGGTTGCTTTGTGTCGAATGTGAGGCAGACGACGAAATTAGACTTCCTCCTTTGGCGATGTTAATCTGGAAGTCGCCGATTCGCCAGCATAATGAGTTGTCTTTGAGGCGAAGCCAAATTACGCAAAATGCCTCACCCTAATTATGGCGGCGTCGCTCAAAACCGCTTATACCTGTTGTATTCAGACCTTTGACTGCGACCCAGTTCAAATATTGCATCAACCTCAAATTCAAACCTTAAATATTTTCGCTTCTGATTTTACGAAATTAATGAATACACAACTTTACCACGACTTGAAGGAATTCCATTAGTAGGACAAAGTTTAAATTGAAATTCGGAAAGTTGGCGAGTTTGTTTTATCGATTCGGGTTCAGGTTTTGTTTGATTGCTATGAAGGGCATGAATGAATGATGAACAATTGAATATTTCATCACTAAGATTTGAGTCAAAGGTCAGTTATTCTAAAATGTATGCTGCGTTGGGAATTTCAGAATTTAAAGAATCAAATCATGACGACGAATGTCTGGGTGGAGCAGGAATGGAACGACTACAAACTCAAATGGAATCCCGAAGATTACGGCGGGGTTGAAACCCTGCATGTGCCATCCGAACACATTTGGCTTCCGGATATTGTCCTTTACAATAAGTAAACATCTTTGCTTGTTTTCTAAGTCTGCTTGATCTGATTCTGTGACTATTTCTGTGTTTAGCGCTGATGGTAATTACGAAGTCACAATAATGACCAAAGCAATACTACATCATACCGGAAAAGTGATGTGGAAACCTCCGGCCATCTACAAGTCTTTCTGCGAAATTGACGTAGAATATTTCCCGTTTGATGAGCAAACGTGTTTCATGAAGTTCGGGTCCTGGACCTATGATGGTTACATGGTAGGTGTTTTCTTCTTTTAATTTTGAGGTATAAAGGTTGTAATCTTGATGATTTTGATGTTTTAAAGGTTGATCTGCGACATCTATCACAAACAAAAGATTCAAACGACATAGACGTAGGCATAGACTTACAGGACTACTACATATCAGTAGAATGGGACATCATGCGGGTACCAGCAGTGCGCAACGAGAAGTTCTACAGTTGCTGTGAGGAACCCTATCCGGACATCATCTTCAACATAACCCTACGAAGAAAGACACTCTTCTACACTGTGAATCTTATAATTCCTTGTGTGGGTATCTCCTTCCTTTCTATTCTGGTATTCTACTTACCCTCAGACTCCGGCGAGAAGGTGTCACTCTCCATTTCCATTCTTCTTTCACTAACCGTGTTCTTCTTGCTTCTCGTTGAGATTATCCCACCTACTTCAATCACTGTACCATTATTAGGGAAGTACCTTCTCTTCACCATGCTGCTGTGCACCCTCTCAGTAGTAATCACCATTGCTGTGCTCAACGTCAACTTCCGGTCACCAGTCACCCATAAACTAGCACCTTGGGTAAAGGTAATCTTCATTGGTTTTCTACCAAAGTTTCTCTTCATTGAAAGAAAAGGATGAAGAAGAAGACAAACAAACAGAAAGCGTGCTCACTGATGTTATCCATGTGCCGTCAATGTTGGATAAATGTAAATCCTTTGATGCGTTTGATCTTGGCCTGCCTCCACCTGGAGATGTAATGAGGCCTTGTTTTGGTGAGGCACCATTCCCACCGCTGCCATTGTCCGGCGCCGATGAGAAGATCTCTACAGTCCTGCCACCTGCCGCACCAATACAATGGAAGGCATCAGTGATGTGAGCCCAACCTTCGATAGAAATTTGGCTGCAGGATATGGAGAAGACCCTTGCGGACGCGCCAAGTTCATTGCTTCCGTACGTCAAGAACAAAGACAAGTTCGAGAATGTCGAGGAAGACTGGAAGTACGTCGCTGATGGTGCTGGATCGACTACTTCTTGTGGATATTCGCGCTTGCATGCGTTATCGGAACAGGATGATTATCTTCAAGCGCCCTCGCTCTACGACACTGCAAACCAATCGATGATATTCAAATCTCAAAAGTGGCCAAGAAAAATTTGGCATTGCTCCAGAATGGTGCGGAAGAATTGTAAATTAATAAACTGAATGGATAATAAGCGTGGTGAGCGTACACGACGGATAATTCTGAGTACTTCCAAAATGTTAATAATAAATGTTAATTGTTGGCGAAGATGTTGCTTTGGCGTAATTGATGATTAAACACAGATGGTACGAACAAAGTTCGCGGCGAAGGCGCAGATGGACATTATAAAGGAACAATACTCCATATTGTAATGCGATAACGATGATAATCATTATTACATAGAACTTGTTTTGTTATGGATAAACTGTGGAAAAATAACAGAAATGGACAAAATGGACACTATTGATTATAACTATAATTGTGAGTTGTGTTTACTCTCAAATATTATTATTATTATTATTACTGTGAGGATGGGGATGATAAGCTGTTTTTCATTTGATGGAAATATTAATTGAATAATAAGTACTGACTGTAGAATTGTTGCTTTATTGGTAACGTACTTTTATCGAACAGACAGACAGAAATAAATTTTGCATTTAACATTAATTTTATCGCTAACTTGGTGTTTTTATTTCATAT